CAAAGCCATAGCATTAATTTAATTTCGAAATATTTAGCTAAAAAAAGCCAAAACTTAAAACTGAAAGTTGCAACTGAAAAAAGAGTTACAACTAAAAATTGTAAATTTTCTTTCTTCCCGTGGCAACTTCCAGTTTGCAACTCTTCTTTCAATTGCAATTTCTAGTTTTAAGTTTTGGTTTTTTTTAAGCTAAATGAATAATAACAATCCTTTATTTTATAATACTATATTTTAAAAAGTTTTAATGTTTGCGGCAAAAAGTATGAAAATCGTAGCGAAGTGAGAGAGTAAGGTGAAGTGAATGTGACCCGTTGTTTTAGTAGACGACACTGTTCTGTCTGCTTTGTTTACAACGTGTCACATTATGTCTGTCATTTTTAAAAGAATAATGTGGTCCTGAAGGTGATATTGTACATTATTTATTTATGCAACGTGAGTTATGACTTATATTTTTAGATAACCTCAGATTGAATTGACATCTTCACTGAAAACTATCGTATCATTGTATGAAACGTGTAGATACCACTTACTAAAAGTTAAAAAAATTTTTCACATCAGTATCGTCTCACTTATTCCCAACTGTTAAAAACACGTTAAAAAGATTAGCCAAATCAAAAGATGTGACTTAAACAAAAAAAAATAGAAATTTTTTTTTTAAATGTCCTACTTACAGCATAAAGTGAAAAAAAAAAATTCGAATACTAAAACACTGTAAGTTTACGTAAATACATACGATGATTTAAAACTGAGTCAAGTTCTACTCTCTTTTCTGGCTTCATTATTTATAAATATGAATACTATAAAAAAACTTATTATAAAAATTCTGTGTCGAACGGAATACACGTTAAAATTTGTCAATGTGTCCATTTTTATTGATTCCTTTACCTACTTGTCTTAGACTATAAGCAAGTTGTAAAACAGTTTTTCATCCAGCACTTACTGAGATACGTGCGTGTCAGTGCTAGTCTACACCCCACTATATTTACGGGCATGTCATTTATCAAGCTATAAAAGTCAAATCTTAAAAATTTGCATGTCGGTAGTTGACAAGTTAGGCTTTTGAGCAATACAAGTTAAAAAAGAAAAAAATTACGTACTATGAGAAAAAACAGCCTAAGCTTCGAAATCAATTCAAGAAAGGATATAAATTTTGAGCGTGAGAACTGACTGCATTATCTGAAATAGCAGGTTGAAATCTATCGATTAATGTCGTTAACCTTTTTTTCTAAGTATTTTTTGTCAATTACAGGAAAGTTGCAAAAAACGCTTTTCATACGAAAAAAGTGCTGCGCACGACGCGTGTTTTCCTTGACTTGGGTGTGCCCTTTTGCATAATTAATTGTATTGTAGCTATTTCACTTAACATTACGTTTATTACTTAAATTGAAGATCACTTTTCTTATTTACAAGATATGGACAGCAAAGAAATTGGCAAATTAAACAAAATGCAATGATAAACAATTGAAAATAAAAAATAAAATGAAAGCTATGAGAAAAAAAAAAAAAAATTAATTAAAAAAAAAAAAAAAAAAGAGAGAAATGAACAACATTAATAGAAATTGAATTTTCCAGTTACCTGAGGCAATACTAAAGATTGCAAAGTCGCAATGATCAAAATCCTGCAAAACTTTTTCATTACATGATGACTGTCGGGCCAAATACACAGAGTTGACAGCATCTTTTTATTTAGCGCGAAATAGGGGGTGTCAAAGGCATCGTTGAAATCCATGGCTGTTTTTTTGCCTTTGTCAAAAACTAACTTTAGTTTGTCATAAGATGAATGATTACTATGATGCTTCCTTTCAACGATGTCTCGATGATTGTACTGTTACGTGCAATCTTTTGTATGTCGAACGAAGGGTACACGTACACGTGGAACTCATAAATATTTGGTGTATAAGAATCACTAGAAAAAATTGCGTAGTTTCGCGACCGTAAGTTATTTTATTATTTATACAAAAAAAAATTTTTTTTTGTTTTTATTATTCAGAAGGGACTTTAACTCTGTAACCTCTTATTTTATTGATTTTGCTTTTTCTCCTGGATTTTCTTTTACAATAGCGTTTTTACTGTAATTTCGATATTTTCTGAGACTTTTAAATAAGTATATAATATATAACAGCTATTATAACTCTAACGTTGAAAATTGTGCTAGATTCAAGCATGAATCGGTTTGTTTTTGACAGTAGTGTTATCTATTGATTAGTTTATTGTTATAATGTTTCGACTTTTTACTCGTAGTGGTGCTATGATACTGTAAAATGAATTCTTTCCTAACCCAACCTTTTTAATATCACTGGAGTATTAATGAAAACGTTTTTTTCTTTGTTTGAACTTGTTGCAAAAATTTATGTATAAGCCATTTCTCGATGTCCAACTCACGTTATTGATTTTTCGAAACAAGTGATGCACTTTTGTTTAATTATTTTTCTCTATACCTTCAACTGCTTTAATGATGATAAATGATGTCTGTCCACGATTCGTCTAGATTATACAGTTTACAGAAACATTGCAGGCTACAAATTTTCGTACTCTAAATATTAGTTAAACTTTCACTGAATTTTAATGTAACGGCCAGAAAATCGTAACGCAGTCACTCACGAATCAACGAAAAGTTACCCTTCTATAGGTACGTTATAAGCAGTAGTTAATCAACGATTCTAAAATTTCCACCATCAAAAAATATGTGACGAAAGTGAATTGCTACTTTTACTTCCGGGAGTACAAAAAAGGAGTGACACAAGTGAATTTTTTATTTCCATTTCATAGTTTACTAGAAAAACAAAAAAAAGAAACCTTTCCACAGGTTTTGAACTCATGTCCTCGTGCATATCCATCGTCCGTATCCACTTAGTCACAAGCAATCTTTGAGAGTGTCTTAGCTCTCACTACATTTATACTGTGGTTCGTAACTTATTTTTAATTAAAAGTTTTTCTTCACTTCTCATCAATTGTTTTTTTATATACAGATCATTTTATGTTTAAATATTTGTCCATACTTACCTTACCGAAATTCTCCAAGTTTAAATTTATCAATGGTCCAGCTGTTAACTGACGTGCAATTGAGCTGCGCATCATCATTAAATGTATTAAGTATCGTGTTTTGATGGGTAATTTATACCAACCGCAAAAGTAACTGAATTTTAGAATAATAAAATTAAGTTACAAAATCATTTATTATTTTTATGATAGTTTATAACTTACAGGGACATAAAAAACTCTACATTTTTATCAACCAATTTTTGCCCTGGCCAGCATGTATAGAACAGGTAAATAAAATGCCCCAACCACATCACGATATAGCGACTGTACACAAAAGTATTGAGTTTTCGTTTTGTTAACTGTAAGTTTAAATATTGCAATTTACTGCAGAAATCCATCCATGGGCTGAACAATACTTATAAAGTTTTAATACTTACCATTGCACTTCCTATACTCAACTCTATGACGACCAAAGTTATATTTAACAAGTTACTCACAGACCACGCGTGTCGAATAAGGTAAAAAAATCTGATAAATAAAAAAATACAGTTGAATTAATTCAAATAATTACTTTGATGATATTATAATGGTACGGAACTCAATTGTTTGGTTATGGAGTTTAATTGTTTGGATAATGTAGGCGTGGATTCGTTCTTCCTCAAATTTTGAATCACATTTAAATTTATCACGGGTCATTTCGAATGTTTGATCCATACGATATCTAAATTGCGTTAAATTTCACAGATGAAAACAGTGTGAATGTAATCATTAATTGCTTGATTATTTCATATCTTATGATATCAAAAGTATATTACTTAAGAACATCGTAGAGTCCAATACAGTGACAGACGCAGTTAGCATACATCGTATCTGCAGCAGCTATGATAAATGTTACGAGAATACTAACAATGAACGAGTGGGCATATATATACCAGTAGTATTCTTGTTCATCTACAAAATACTCCGTGTATATAATGAACAATTTGGGTCGTGATTCATTCGTGGAAATTATTGTGTCGAATATTTTCGGTCCCATTATAGGCATCGTCACAAAAATAATAAGGTTTTGGATAAGATACACTGCGTAGCATATTATAACTGTTGATTAAGATGCAACTTTACTCTTTTAAATTAAAAAAGTTTATTCACCTATAAAAATAAGCGTAAATGTATAACCAAGTTTCCAAGATTTTCTTAAAACTTCTTTTTCCCTTTTATTTTCCATTTGTTTCCAATCGTTGGTAAAACGCTTGTAAATGTGCCGTAACTGAAATATTATTTTGTAAATCAGTAAAAATTATGTAATTATTTTAAATATGCAGCATACCTTGTGTTCCATGCAAAGATTTTGAATGTATTTTATAGTTGTTCCCGTCATAAAAATAACACCAATGATACATTCGACAAGTATTTCAAGTTTTCCATCCACCAAGAAGAGTTCCTTAAAAGCTCGGAAAACCTAAAAAAAAAAAAAAAAAAAAAAAAAAAAAAAAAAAAAAAAAAAAAAAAAAAAAA